TTCTTTCTTCTCCTTCCGAGATTGTAACACTGCATGTGTGCATGTATTGGTCTATTCAGTGGTAAACAACAGATCTTGCAGATTCTGATCACTTTTCATTGTTTTCTTTCTTTTTTCCAGACTCATTAACTTTAATTGTTCTATCTTAAAGTTCATTTATTCTTTATTCTGACTGCTCAGATTTGCCTTTGAATCCTAATAGTCAAATTTTCATTTCAGGTACTGTATGTATTTTCGGCCCCAGAACTTTTTGGTTTCTCTTTAGGTTTTCTGTCCTTTTATTAACATTGCCATTTTGTTCATCTTCTTTTTTATTTTATTCACATCTTTTTCTAGTTCTTTGATTACCTTTAAGGTGATTGTTATAAAGTCATTGTCTAATATAGCAACTTTTTCACATACAGTTTCTGTTGATTTTTTTCCCCGTTAATGGAGCCTACCTTCTTGTTTTGTTTGCTTTGTGATTTTTTTCTTTTATTGATTCCAGAGCGAGGGGAAGGGAGGAACAGAAACAATGATGTGAGAAGCATCAATTGGTTGCCTCTTGTGTGTGCCCCAACAAGGGACCAAACCCACAACCCAAGCCTGTACCCTGACTGGGAATCGAACCCACTATCTTTAGGTCTGCAGATTGATACCCAACCAACGGAACCACTGGCCGGGGCTGCTTGTGATTTGAGGGGAAAAACAGAACACTCAAATGTAATAATCTGGTAACTCCAGATTCTCACCCTTCCTCGGTTCTCCCCCTTCCTCAGGGTTTGCGGTTTCTCCTTATGTATTTATTGGTTGGTTGGTGGGTGGGTTGGCTGCCTCTGTGCCAAGGAACAGCCTGAGGCATAAACCTCAAAGCTTTCTCATGTCCCTTCTGTTTCTTCCCTCAGACGCACACAGTCACTTGCTAATACTCCCTCTGTTTGCAGCTGCTTCGTGTCCTCATATTTAATATCTGGATCCCAAAAGAAAAAGAGAAAAATAAAGGGGAAGAACGATCACTGGTCCTTTAAATCCCGAAAGTCACTTCAGCTGGTAGGGAAGGGGTGTGCAACAGTGGAAGGAAGTGGAACAGCAGGGGCTTCTTTCCTTGTCACACCGCTCTGATCAGAAGCATCAGTGAGTGATCCTGTTGTTACCCGAGAGCCTCGTCCTGTTCCAGAACAGCCAGTGGGGCCCTACTGCTCACCACCCACAGGCAAAAACTCTGGAGGCAGAGTCTGGTGAAAAGGAAAAGGAATCCTTTATTTAAAGTATATACAGCTTGAAATATTGGCAGGTTTCTGCCTCAAAGCTAGTTTCCTTTAAAACGCTTCAAAGAAAATCACCCTGCCACACTCTGCCGGCTCAGTTCAAGGTTCCATCAGGAATTTCTCCTCCCACCTGAAGGTACTGTCCCTTAAGAATCGCAGTGGCTTATCTGGCTTCAACCTGTGCATCCAAGTGTCTTACTCGCAGCTCACCGTCCTCTTCCCGTGGCTGCTGTGCTCTGGTGTGTCAGTGTGCCTGGCTGCGCAAAACCTGTGTCAGAACCTGACCCGGTCGTCAGCATCGCTGCAGCTTCCCGTGTGGGGGAGGGGTGTGGGGCTCATTGCCTTGCCACCAGGCTTCCAGGACTGGCACAGATCCGTAGACTAAGCCCCGTCCCACACATTCTTGGTGTAGATCCGAGGCCCTGTCTGGGCTGGAGCTGGCAGAGCAGCAGTCACAGCAGAAGCCACAGTCACTAGGCCCCCACCAGAGGAGCCCCTGACAGAGGAGCACTCAGGTAGCAGGTGGGAAGCCACAGACCCCCTGCCCTACCCAAGCCTCCTGTGCTCTCTTGTGCCCACTATGCTACTGGACAGACAGGTCTCAGAGCAACCAGGGGTGGGTGCAGAGAATACAACCAACTACCCAGGGGAAGGGAGAGCAAAAGTGCACATTTTTCCTGTGTTCTTTTAAAGGCAGCCCCTATAATCCCCTCACAGATGTACATGGGAGGGTGTGTCCCTCCCATCCAATCACTTCCCTAGTTCTAAGCATCAGCCCTTTGTGCAGCAGAAGCTGAGTCAAGCATGCATGTCCCTGTAGGCAGGGTGACGCATGAATGCAGTCTTCTGTGCTTTCCCACCCATCCCCATTCTCAGGGGGGTCCCCCTACCCCCTGTTACAGTATCAGAGACCTGCCCACCTTGGCCCCCACAAGCTGTGCGCAAGCTGCGCACAAGCTGCTCCAGGAACTTGTGCATAGCTGCCTGCCATGGGGCTAGGGGGTGGGGGATGGGTAACTGCTAATATGCTAAATACTGAAATTGACCAAAATTAATCACTTACCATCCATAGCCTCTTCTGGAAGTTGCAAGCCTCCAATAGACTTCACAGTTCCAAAATAGTTACATTAGCAGATTCTGCCAGTGCAGTTGTTGTCTAAGTGAGGAGACACCTTTCTGGTACTCCCTTCTCTGCATCTCCTCAGAATCCTTTCCTGTGTACACACGTTTTTATTTCTACAGATAAATGCCCAAGAATACAGTTTCAGAGGTATGGTCATTACTTGTTTAGTTTTGAGAAACTCTAGTTTTTCAAAGGGGCTACACCCTTTAACAATCCCACCAGCAATGTCTGGTGATCCTGAGTCTGCATCTTTGCCAGTTTTGGGCACTGCCGCTTTTTCATTGCAGCCATTCTGATGGGCGTGTGAGTGCGTCCTCAGTGTGGTTTAAGTTCTGATCTCTGACAGGTCATCCAATGGCACACCCTCTTCAGTGCAGTGTCTTCCTATCTTTTCTAATTGGATGGCTTGATGTTTTTCATTTTCGACTTTTGAGAGTTCTTTATATATTATAAATACTGGTCCTTTGTTGGATATGTGGTTTGCAAATATTTTGCCCCGGTCTGTAACTAGGCCGTAGCATCCTCTTTACAGGGTCTTCAGCAGCAAAAGAGTTTTCATTCTGATGAGGTGTAACGTCACTTTCCCTCTTGTGGCTCATGCTCTGAGTGTCAAGTCTGAGAACGCTTTGTCTACCCTTAGTTCTCAAAGATCTTCTCCTATTTTTCCTAAAGTTTTACAAGTTTATATTACATATTTAAGTCTGTAATCCATTTTGAGGTAATTTTTATATAAATTGGGGTAGGTCAAGTTTTTTTTTTTTTTCGGTTTGTTTTTGCCTATGCAAAATTCATCCAACACCATTTGTTGAAAATCTCTCTTATTCCACTGAATTGCTTTTGCACCTTTATCAGAAACCATTTGAGCATATTCATACAGGTCTATTTCTGGCTATGAAATTATGTTCCACTGAACTATGTGTCTGTCTCTTCTCTAATACCATACTGTCTTGATTACTGTAGGTCTATATAAACCCTTAATGTGGTAGAGTGATTCTCTCTGAATTTATTATCTTCCTTTCCAGGATTTTTAAAATTATTTGGGGGTTGCACCTTTTTATTTAAATTTTAGAATCAGCTGACCTAATTGTACAAAAAAAAAACCTTGCTGGGCATCGCATTAAGCCTGCGAATCAGTTTGAGGAGAATTGGCATCTTTGTGGTACTGACTCTTTCGATCCATGAACACACGTGTCTCTCCATTCATTTAAATCTTCTTTGATTACTTTCATCGAGATTTTGTATTTTCAGTTTACACATCCTGAACTTTGTTAAGATAACTGTTTAATTTTCTTTGGAGTGATTGTTAGTGGGACTGTGTTTTTCATTTTAGTTTCTATCTGTTCATTATTACCAAATAAAAATGTGATTGGTTTTTCTGTGTTGGTTTCAAAAAAATAAGAAGGTAGCTTTTTACTACTGTTCCCTTACTTCTATTTGTTTAATTCATGTTTAGGTGATCTGTAGAACTGCCTCACAGACATGCTGGGCAACGAGTTGACAACCCTCCTGCAAAGGAGGCCTCACTGTTTTTGTTCTGCAGTTGATACAAAGATACACACGCGCCAAGCTTGTGTGTGGCAGAGGAGGGGCTCACAGCCTGGCTTACGGAGCTGTTTCCAACAGGCTCTACCATCTCAGGCTGTAAAACATCCTTGAAGGCCTTACATGGTGTATTTTCTGAGGAGTTGAATCCTTGAAAATGACAACTTGGTTAGAATTACTAGGTGTTCCTCTAGTTCTCTTCTTCCTGCTTCTGGAGACAGTGCCCAGGCATCTACTAGCACTTTGTGTATTGGGAAGAGTTGGGCGCCATTCCCTCTACTCGTTTTTTATAAAAATTCTTCTTATTTGAAATTTAAATATTCATCACATTGGAATTCATTTATTCATTCCTTTGAATACTACGTATGAAGGGAAATATTATGCTAGGTACTGGGTATAAAAAGATGAATGAGACACTGTCTTTGTTTAATTTGCTTGTACTCAAGTACAGAAGACCCATGGGAAGGCAGATGCAATGAAGGGTGGTAAGTACCCAGTGGTGTGCTGGAGTCAGTGCAAACCAGTGTGTGGGAGCCTGTTATCAACTGTTCAAAAACTGAGAACCTGGTTTACTGATGGTAGCTTAAAATTGGCTGTGGTCAGACAATTTACACCATGGAAATTAGCAAATACTGCATGTAGGGCTTTTCTTTTTTTTTTTCTTTATTATCCCTTAGGTCAGAGTTGTCAAACTTATTCTCACCATGGGCCACATCAACCTCTCAGTTGCCTTCAAAGGGCCGAAATAATTTTAGGACTGTATAAATGTAACTACTCCTTAACTGTTAAGGAGTTGAAATTACATTCGGCCCTTTGAAGGCAACCGAGAGGCTGATGTGGCCTGCGGTGAGAATGAGTTCGACACTCCTGTTCTAGGCCGTCCAGTTCACTAGCACGCCACTGTGGTGTGGGAGTAGAGGTAATAAACCCATTTTTTTATCTCATTGCAAAATGCACCCACCTGCATATCATATCTTAAGTTGTTTATTAAGGACTGGGTGCTCCTGGTGATTTAGCCTTTCACAAACATGGTAGCCATGAGGCTAAGATTAAGTCTCAATCCCCCATGGGTTCTGTTTTTGTTCCAGAGATTACAAAGAAGCTAACATCACCATCAACTTGTACATCGTCAATGAGCCCTGGCTCTTCTCGCTGGCGTGGTGCTCCAGGATTCACTCAGTGACCACTGACAACGTTCAGCTCCTGAGGCAGATGCATGTCCCTTACTACCTCATGGTGAGCTGCTTGTCCAGATGGCTCTCCCAAGTCTGCTGTGATAGGTGTCTGCATACGCTACCCAACCCCTATATTGCCCAGGGTGCAGTCCCTGGGGAGCTACTTAGGAGCAGAGACATCTGCAATTTTGGAGGTGTGGTGTTCTCCCTTTTCTCACACAAATCCTACTGTGTGAGAAATCCTACTGTGAACTTGGAACTGTTGTATTGCCAAAGAAAATCACATGACCAAGTCCAGGTTCAAGGTGGATGAGGGTGGAAATAGCAAGGTCACATTGCATACTTTTCACTCAGATGTTACAGATTTAAGTAACATTTAATTGCACTGCACAATTATGCAATGGATGCACCTGTTTGAAGCCATTTAGGAGCAAGAACAACTTATTCTTGGCGTTGCTTGGTGATGCTCACCCGGTACGCATCTCGAAGCAGGCCAAAGCCCCAGTTAGTGAGTTTCTCAGGGGTCAGTAACAGCCTCAGTTTAGTGGACTTTGGTTTAGAGCTTCTATGGTACCAGCCTAGCAGGGCTGTTGTGAGGATTCGGTGTGAAAATATGCTAAACACGCTTAGAACGATTTTTTAGGTCCTGTAAATGCTCATTAATTGCTCATTGTTATTATTATCATGATCACTAGTATTTTTATTGATATTATTATTCAGTCCAAGGAAATCCTTGGGATGGGGGAGAATGGCCTAAGAAAGAGTAAAAAGTGCCACCCAGTAGCATCAAGTAAAACTGGCAGGGGGAACAGGAGAGGGAGAAAGGGAGGGTCCAAGCTGGGAATTAGGAAAGTCACACCAGAGGCCCCAGGAGATGGAGCTCTGGGACAGGGGCGATTCAGGCCCCTGGAGGAGCGTGCAGGAGGGGGCATGTTCAGGGAGAATTATAATTGCAGCCTACTTACTTGAAGCATCTCGATGTAGAACAGTGATTTCTAAATGCTAGCTCACAGACTGGTTGCTTCAGTCTCACCTGAGGAGCTTGTGAAAAATGCAGGAGTTCTCATTCCTGAGGTCTGCAGCAGACCCGGGACCTGTATTACTACAGGTGTTACTGTAGATCTGGGCGCACAGCCAGGTTTGGGAAGCTGTGCCATGAAAACACAGGGCACGGGAGCCCACGGAACTTGGGCCGTAGTCCTGGGTTCAGAGCAGGCTTGCTATGTGACTTCTCTGGGACTCCCCCAGGCCCCTGTGTGGAGGGTGTGCATCGCATCCCTTGTAGAGCCCCCACACGTGGAGGGTCACTGTTAGGTAGCAACAGGTGTTCTCTGTGTTGGAGGCCACCGCACCAGACAGGCTCCTGGGCGGGTCTGCTGCCCCTCCACTCTGCCCCCAGGCCTGCAGCAGACAGGGGGCTTGGCCCATATGATCAAAAATCCCTTCCGTCTGTAAAGTTCTTTGACTTGAAAGTGATTTGTTTTCTGTTTTGCAGACACCAGGTTACTATGTGTTCATGTGGCTTCTCCTGGATATTGTTTCTTTTATTTTTATTGTTGCCATATTTTATTTCCATTGGTAAGTATATGTTTATAACTTTAATGAATTTTTCCCAAAATAAAGTGTAAATGGTTCTCATGGAAAGTTAAGGAAACAGTTAAACACTCTTCCTATATTATATCCCCTATGGCAAGTTCTCAGGAAGGCAGGTTAATAATCCCAGCCCTTCATTTCCTCTCGAACTGCCTGCAACTCCTCACACCCCTTCCACCTCCTCAGCACGAGACAGTGTTTTAGGGGTAAGGGCTGTCACTCACTCTCAGTAACAGCCTGTTGCCACAGACTCAGTGCGATTCCCCTGAGGGGACAGAGGGTGGAGACTGTCTGGAACTCAGCAGGATGCGGTGCAAAGAGCAGGTCCACAGACGTGGAGGCCTGGCTCTTAGCCCTGGACTTGCCCCGTAGTTGTCAGTGACCCGGGGAAATCACTGCCCCTTCCCAGACAACAGTGTGTATCTGTCCAAGAAGATGGCATTTGAGGATCTTTGCTGGGAAAATGCTACAGGGTTGCCAGGTTCGGTGGGAGAGGAGACATCCTGGTAGAGGAGCTTAGCTAGAGTGTGTGGGCCTTCGTCACGCCCATCATGTCTTTATTTGTGAGTTTTCCTTTGCAGGGGGAAGTGCAAGTTCTTAAGTGAGAACTTGACTGGGTGATGTTTCTTTTCTGGCTACTGCCTTAGATTATTGTTATTTCTGGAAGAGATCTGTGAGATTCAAGGATGGTCTGCTTCCTTCCAGGTGGAGAGAGAGCCAAAAAGAAAAAGTCTTTGAAACCACCAGCAGTCACACAGGTAAAGCCAGAGGCCACCCCTGGGCTACCCAGTGCCTGCAGATGGCAGGGCCTCCTTGTCATGTGGCTGACAAGGGCTGAGGGAGTCTGGGAAGTTGAGGGTGGGGGTGTGGCTGGGCGCAGATGCTGGAGGACCCTTGACATCAGGCTTCATTCTGGACTTGAGTCTTTAATCAGTGGACCCCTTGGAAGTGTTTGAACGTGGTGTTTATTTGTTAACTTGTTCATATATTCTTTCATCACACTTTGTAGCAGGCACTCTGAGAAGGGCTGAAGCTAACTAGGAAGTGTCTGTGAGGGTGGCCCAAGAGAGCAGAGGGTTGGCCCACAGAGAACATTGAGGACGCAGACGAGAGGATAGCAGTTGACACCATGGGCCCAGCACCTAGGTCCAGGTCAGAGAGGCTTCTGTGGCTGTCAGGGCTAAGTGTGCTTCATGGGCAGGACACGTCACTGTGGGTGACGTGTGTTGGAGTGGGGGGCGAACACTGTGGAGGTCCTGAATTGCTGGACTGAGGTCTGGGCTCTGCGTGTAAGCAATGGGGAGATGGCAAATGAGATTCAAATCAGGGAGCGATGTGCTGGATTTCTGTGTAAAGGGGTAGAATCACAGTAATTCATTATTCAGCAGGAGAACTCCGGGGCTGAGGAAGTGACATAGGCCAGTAAGGGGAAGGACAGCTGGCTTTAATTTTCAAAAGGAGACAACCAGGCAGTGTGTTGTGGGTGCGGGGAGCCAGTGCAATGGCAGTGGGAAAGCCAGTCAGGAAGCAGGGGACTGCAGCACATGGTGCAGTTTCCTTACACAGCTCCCGGAGCCTTAGTAAACTCCCAAGGGCATGAATTCATTCAATTTCTGTGGACAGGGGTGACTGTCCTGAGATGCTATGCACCAGGGGCGGGTACCTGAGTGATCCAATGCTTAGAGTCAGGAATGGATCGCAGAGATGGTGGAAAAAGAAGTTCAGAAATTGGAGTGAGTTAAATGGAAGGCAGTGGTGTTTCCTGCTGTGGAACTGAAGGTTTGAACCGCGGTTGCCCGACTCTGCAGAGGGGCAGAGAGTTCTCAGGTGACTCTGAGTTACACGGATCTTGAGATCGCTGACCTGCTGGTAAGAGGTCTGAAGGTGTATTCCAGCGTCCTCATTGTTTTCGGTAGTTGTATGACTAAACTAGGGCTGTCATAACAAAATGTCCCAGACTGGACTGGGTGAAACAATGGGAATTTATTTATTTATTTTTAATATATTTTATTGATTATGCTATTACAGTTGTCCCATTTTCCCCCTTTATTACCCTCCACCCTGCACACCCTCTCCCACCCACATTCCCCCCTATAGTTCATGTCCGTGTTCATAAGTTCTTTATTTTCTACATTTCCCCTACTATTCTTGCCCTCCCCCTGTCTATTTTCTACCTACCGTCTATGCTAATTATTCTCTGTACCTTCTCCCTCTTTCTCCTCCTCCCACTCCCCTGTTGCTAACCCTCCATGTGATCTCCATTTCTATGGTTGTGCTCCTGATCTAGCTGTCCTCTTAGTTTGCTTTTGTTTTAGGTGTGATTGTTAATAACTGTGAGTTTGCTGTCCTTTCACTGTTCATCTTTTTTATCTTCTTTTTCTTAGATAAGTCCTTTAACATTTCATGTAATAAGGGCTGGGTGATGATGAACTCCTTGACCTGAACTTGACCTTATCTGGGAAGCACTTTATCTGCCCTTCCATTCTAAATGAAAGCTTTGCTGGAGAGAGCAATCTTGGATGTAGGTCTTTGGATTTCATGAGTAGGAATACTTCTTTCGAGCCCCTTCTTGCCTGTAAGGTCTGTTTTGAGAAATCTGCTGACAGTCTGATGGGAAGTCCTTTGTAGGTGACTGTCCCCTTAGCTCTTGCTGCTTCTAGGATTCTCTCCTTCATTTTCAGCTTGGCTAATGTAATGATGATGTGCCTTGGTGTGTTCCTTCTTGGGTCCAACTTCTTTGGGACTCTCTGAGCTTCCTGGATTTCTTGGAAGTCTATTTGCTTTGCCAGATTGGGGAAGTTCTCCTTTATTATTTGTTCATATAAGTTTTCCACTTGTTGCTGTTCCTCTTCCCCTTCTAGTACCCCTATAATTCTGATGTTGGAACATTTAAAGATGTCCTGGAGGTTCCCAAGCCTCTTTTCATTTTTTCAAATTCTTGTTTCTTCATTCTTTTCTGTTTGGTTGTTTCTTTCTTCCTTCTGGTCCACTCCATTGATTTGGGTACCAGTTTTCTTTTCATCACTATTGTTTTCCTATGCATTTTCCTTCATTTCAATTAGCATAGCCTTCATTTTTTCATCTAATTTGTGACTAAATTCAACCAGTTCTGTGAGCATCTGGATTATCAGTGCTTTGAACTGTGCATCTGATAGGTTGGCTGTCTCTTTGTCGCTTAATTAGCTTTGCTATGGAGCTTTGAAATGTTCTTCTGTTTGGGCCCCCCCCCTTTTTTTTTTTTTTTGGTCTGGTCATGCCTGTTATGTATGAGGGGCAGAGCCTTAGTATTCACCAGGGCCGGGCATCCCATGTCTCTAGGTTGTGATGCTGTATTAGGGGGTGGGGTCTGAGAGGGAACAGTGGCGCTTGCTCTTCTCTCTCTGGGATTTCAGTCCCTTCCACCACTTCCCCCAAGCAAACTGGGCCCTTCTGGTGATAATTCCTGGTAGGTGGGCTTGTGTATGTTCTAGGAACCTGTGGATCTCTCCAGTGAATTCTCCTGTGAAGCTGGGAGTCTATTCCTGCACCTCAACCCCCACAGGTGTTTTCAATTGGTGTTTTGAGGCTTTATTTCCTGGAGCTGGGACCCCTGGAAATTGTGTGGTCTGTCTCGCTCCTCAGTTTTGCCTGGTTTATCTGCATGTGAATGTGGGACAGCCTGGTCAGCCAGCCACCTTGCACACCATGCCCTGCTTCACAATCGCTGCCTCACTGGGTCTGCCTGCTACCAGCCTGTGCCTGTGTGCCCAGGGTCCCCCCACTGCTGTCTTGCGTGCCTGGGGTTTGTCAGCTGCTGCCTGCGTGCCCAGTGCCACCGCTTTTTTTACCACGACCTTCTCTGAGCGGCTGTGCCTCCACCCTGCCTACTGGTATGGATGAATGTGTCTATTTTAACTCCTTGGTTGTCGGACTTCCATACAGTTCAATTTTCTGTCATCTCTGGTTGTTATTTTGTTTCTAACTTGTTGTTTCCTTATTTTGGTTGTGTGAGGAGGCACAGTGTGCTTACCTACACCTCTATCTTGGCCAGAAGTCCCAACAGGAATTTATTTATCTCACGTTTACTGAGGCTAGAAAGTCAAGATCAGTATGTCAGCAGGTTTGCTTTCTTTTTTTAATATATATTTTATTAATTATGCCATTACAGTTCTATTCCCCCCTTCATTCCCCTCCACCCTGCACACCCCCTCCCCCACCATTCCCCCCCTTTAGTTTATGACCACGTGTCTCAAGTTCTTTAGATTCTATATCTCCCCTACTATTCTTGCCCTCCCCCTATCTATTTTCTACCTACCGTCTATGCTACTTATTTTCTGTACCTTCTCCCCACTTCTCCTTCTCCCACTCCCCTGTTGCTAACCCTCCATGTGATCTTCATTTCTATGGTTCTGCTCCTGATCTAGCTATCCTCTTAGTTTGCTTTTGTTTTAGGTGCGGTTCTTAATAACTGTGAGTTTGCTGTCCTTTCACTGTTCATCTTTTTTATCTTTTTTTTCTTAGATAAGTCCTTTAACATTTCATATAATAAGGGCTTGGTGATGATGAACTCCTTGACTTGAACTTGACCTTATCTGGGAAGCACTTTATCTGCCCTTCCATTCTAAATGAAAGCTTTGCTGGAGAGAGCAATCTTGGATGTAGGTCTTTGGATTTCATGAGTAGGAATACTTCTTTCGAGCCCCTTCTTGCCTGTAAGGTCTGTTTTGAGAAATCTGCTGACAGTCTGATGGGAAGTCCTTTGTAGGTGACTGTCCCCTTAGCTCTTGCTGCTTCTAGGATTCTCTCCTTCATTTTAATTTTGCTAATGTAATGATGATGTGCCTTGATGTGTTTCTTCTTGGGTCCAACTTCTTTGGGACTCTCTGAGCTACCTGGATTTCCTGGAAGTCTATTTGCTTTGCCAGATTGGGGAAGTTCTCCTTTATTATTTGTTCAAATAAGTTTTCCACTCATGACTGTTCCTCTTCCCCTTCTGGTACCCCCATAATTCGAATGTTGGAATGTTTAAAGATGTCCCGAAGGTTCCTATGCCTCTCCTCGTTTTTTTGAATTCTTGTTTCTTCATCCTTTTCTGTTTGGTCATTTTTTCCCTCCTTCTGGTCCACTCCTTTGATTTGAGTCCCAGTTTCCTTTCCATCAGTATCGGTTTCCTGTGCATTTCCCTTCATTTCAATTAGTTTAGCCTTCATATGTTCCTCTAATTTGTAACTAAAATCAACCAGTTCTGTGAGCATCACCAGTGTTCAAAATCACCAGTGTTTTGAACTATGCATCTGAAAATTTGGCTATTTCTTCATCACTTAGATTTATCGGCTCTGGGGCTCTGAGTTGTTCTTGAGCTGTGTTTTGATCTGTTCGTGCCTGTTATGTGTGGGGAGCAGAGCCTTAGTTGTTCACCAGGGCAGGGCCACCCAGGTTACTGGTTTGTGACACTGTATGTGGGGGCGGGGTCAGAGAGGGACAATGGCAGTCCCCTCTGCTGCTTCATGCTGCTGGGGACTGTGCGGTCCCTCTCACTGCTCGCTCCTTCACCAGTTTATCTGTGGGTGAATGTGTGACCCAGATCAGCCCTCAGTGGGTCTGCCTGCTTCTCCACACCTGGGATCCACCCACGGCTGCTGGCGCCTGGGTCGAGAGCCCGGGTCGTTCCGGTGGATCTTTTCTGCCTGACCCCGCTCTGCTGCTGGCTCTGCCCCTCTTACCGGTTTGGCTGAAGGGTTCGTTGTTGTCAGACTTCTGTGTAGTTCAATTTTCTGTT